TTTTTTTATTTCCCCACGCCTGTCCCCTTCATGCGTGACTTCGAAACAACATTGATCGTTAAGAATGCGACGCGCGTGATGCTATACTAGTGCCCGTTTGTAAACATTACATCAGTGATGAATTTAAAATAGTAACGGGTACGCGGAATGCAAATCGATAGCGAAAACATTTCTTATAGTCGCCTCGCATTGGAAATACCGCGACTAGGCGAATTTCATTGAACTTAAAAGATCTGTTTTTGCGCACCCTTTACAAAAATTATCTATAAGAATCTATCTGGAAGTTTCTTTTTCATAGCTGCATTAAAAGGTCCGCAACTAGGTAACTGTGACTGAATGAAAAGAAATGAAATCTTTACCTATCCGAGCTTTGAAAAAGTCTTTCAAAGGGAATTTCTTTTTGTGAACATGGTTCTTATTGATAATTGTCTAGAGGCTAATCCGAGATAAAGGCGGTCGCCCATGTATGCGAGGCGTGCGCGGGCGTACGAGCTCTAAGATGAAAAATGCTTGAGCACGCCGATCGCACCGCTTTGCATGTAAAACCAAAGCCTTCGTCCGGAAACAGCTTCTACATACCTCCGATATAGAATAAGCTTATAAAAACTGGACGAAAAGATCAAAAGCTTTGAAAAATGATTAGAACAAAGAAAAGTTTAAAAAACACAGCTAAAGATTGGGACTCACCGTTTTGGCAACAGTGCCAGCCATTGCACCAGACACAAGTTGTCCAGTAGACTCGTGATGCTTCACTAACTTTGGCCACAAATCAACAAATAAATTATATAGAGCAAACTGAAGCCCCGTGAATGGAGCGATCTGAGCTATGCTTGGTATCCACCCGCGAAAATATCCCAAAATGCCCTCTTTTTTCCATATGTGAAGTATTGCATGTGTTGTACCTAGAAATAATACGAAATTTGTGTATAAGTCTCAGTGGTTCCATATCCCTACCCCTATAGACAGAATTTCCAGCTTGGGCAACCAGCCTTGTACGAATGACATCTAGAGGCATTGCAGAAGTCATGGCAAGACATCCTGATAAACCGCCACATACAAAATCAGCCGAGTGCCTCAACGAAGCGCTACCA